CCCTCCCCCCCCAGTCACTGCAGTGGCCCCCCCAACCCCTGGCACAGCCTGGGGGCCCCAGTGCTGCCAGCACCTGCCCGAGGCTGCCTTGCAGCAGCTCCGGCGGCCACAGCAAACTCCTTATCCCTGCCATGTTACCTGGAGGTTTTCCTCCTCTCCTTCTCCTCCTCCTTCCTTGGGCCTGGCGGGGGCCGGGCACAGCCCCTGCCCTTTGAGAGCTGCTGCCCGCTTCTCCTGCTGCCCGCGCTGGTACTTCTCGATGAGGGCATGGTCGTGGCGCCGCTTCGACCGCATCACGGTGCTGGCCAGCGTCCGGGACGTGGCGTTGATCTCGAAGATGGTCTGCTCCCAGGGTGGGAGCGGGAGCCCTGGTGAGCTGCACGGCTGGCCACACTGGACCTTCCCTCCCCAGCCCAACCTGGTGCCTCGTGCCCGCGGACGGGTCTCCACTCACCGCCTTGGACTTGTAGGTTTTAATGCTGTCCACAAACTTCAGCCTCTCCAGCTCAGTGTCTTCGAAGCGAGCACCTGGGGAATGTGGGCACAGAGAGAGGCACAGATCAGCTCCTTGGCGAGGGGAACGGGGCCCTCTCCCTCAATATCCCCGAGGCACTCACTGAAGAGCGGGTGCATGCCCAGCTGGGACACGTCCAGGTCCTTCGCCCTCTTGATGGACTCAGGCGAGGGGCCAGGCCGGGACCGCAGGTACTGCTTGTGGGCGTTGTCGGCGACACGGCGCAGGCTCCGCAGCTCCAGCGAGCCCTCATGGTCTGTCAGCAGCAGGCACTCCTCGTCGTCCACCAGGCTTTGGGGGACACGGCCCAGGACCCCACCGGCATCTGCATCCCGGGGGACACCGTGTCACCTCGCTGGAAACCACCCTGGGATTGTTGCAGCGGGCACAGCAGCAACCCAGGATTAAACAAAGCAGAGCTAACAAGAACAACACAGCTCGCTGGTGTTAAATCAGCATCCCTGCTATGCCGGGCGTGTCGGAACCCCCAGCGCCCCATTTTCCCCAGCTGCACCCCTTCAACGAGAGCTTATCACCCCTCTGCACAAATGCCAACCAGAAGACCAGGAACTCCAGCACCGGCCAAGGATAAAACCCCATCGGCCACGTGGCCAGTGTCCCAGCTTGGACATGCAGCCACCATGATGCCTGCAATCAAGTCTGCCTTACCAGCGGGCATCTCCTGGGCACCGGCGAGGACGAGCGGGTGCCCCAGGAAGAGGTGGAGGTCGAAGACATAGGGCATCTCATCGGGAGCCACCAGCGAGTAGGCAGTGCCACTCCGGCCAGCGCGGGCCACACGACCTGGTATGGGGAGGAGGAGAGTGGGAAACCAGACCCAGTGCCAGCCCAGCCTGCCCCTACATGGGCAGGGACCCACTAGTGTCCCCAGGAGCCCACGCACATGACATTCACCAGGTGGGCACGGCTGGCAAGGGGCTGTGGGTCACTGGGGAAGGAGGCAGAGGGGAGCCCATCACGGTGCCATCCAAAAGGGAAGGCACCAGCCCTGCCCTGAAGAGTCCCCACAGGCCAGCTGGGATTTTTTTGCTCCCGCTTTGTTCCCAGCCCGTCTCCTCATATCACAACACGGTGACCTCCTGCCCCAAAGATATCACCACCAAGTCAGGGGCAGCAGTGCCAGCCCCGCAAGCCACAGGGATGGGAAAAACAGGGGACAAGGGATAGCCCACTCACACCCTCCCTGTCACCCTGAGGGACCCCCAGGTTGCAAGGACCCCTGCAACAGTGCACTGGCACCCACCAACGCGATGCAGGAACAGCTTGGCCTTGGCGGGGAAGCTGTAGTTGATGACATTGTCCAGCATGGGGATGTCAAGCCCGCGGGCAGCCACGTCGGTGACCAGCAGCACTGGGCACTTGCCCTGGGCAAACTTGGCGATGTTGATCTTGCGGGCGGTCTGGTCCAGTGAGCTGTAGATGTGTGTGCAGCGGATGCCCTGGGCCGTCAGCAGCTGGGGAGGGGGGAAGAGAGATCAGATCCCACCTGGGCACGCATCCTCAGTCAAGGGGCAGGGCCCCCCAGCTACCTGAGACCCCGGGGTGTCCATCCAGACCCCCAAACCCTACTGTGCTCCCCACCTCTCTCCGAGGAGTAGGTGGACGCAGCACCTCCACGATCACATATGCTGGGATTTCTCCTTCAACCCAGTAAAAGAGAGGCAGAGACTCCAGCAGGGATGTGCCCACATATGCAGACCCCACATGGGTCTGGAAAGGGGTTCCAGGCACCCCCGGCAGCCTGCCCTTTAACAGGGATACATGCTGGGCACTCCCAAATGCCACTTGCCTCCTTGAGATACTCTGTGTGGTGCTTGGTGGCCACGAAGACGACCGTCTGGTCCTGGGGCTTCACCACGCTCCGGAGCAGGTGGAGCAGCACGGCCGGTTTGTCATCCCCGCGCACGTGGAAGAAAGCCAGCTGCAACGGGAGGGCAGAGCTCAGCCCCTCTGCGTCCCCACGCCAGATGCTGCCACCCCCCCGTCCCCTGCTCGCAAGCCTGGAGCCCCCACAGGATGGCTTGCGGGGGGAGGGGGGTGCAAAGCTCATCTTGACCCCCCCAGCCCCTCTCACCTTGAGCTGCTCACTGAGCTTGGACTCCACATCCAGACGGATTAGCATCGGCTCAGTGAGACCTGTGGGATGTGGTGACGCACGGGACGTGGGTCACATGTGGGATGTGCTACTGGGACCAGCCCCACCCCTCGGCAGGGGGACACCTGCTTGGCCCAGCCTAGACCCAGCTCGGTTTTGTGGGCCCAGCCCAGCTGTGGGACCGTGCTGTCCCCCCGTCCCCAGGCTCCCCCCAGGTCTAGCCCCCCAGCTGCCGTCTGCCCCATGCTCCTCACCGGCCCGGGCAAACTCGACGAGCAGCTTGGGCAGCGTGGCGGAGAAGAGGACGGTCTGGTGGCAGTCCGGGAGCCGGGCGATGATCTCCTGGAGCTGCTCGGCAAAGCCCATCTCAAAGAGCCTGCAAGGGAGGGGACGTGGGACACGGCAGCGCCTGTTCGGTCCCTCCATGTCCAGCCCTGTCACCCCCCAGGGCACCCTGTTCCCACCATGCAGGGACACTGCTAGCCCCGGGGACCCTCGGGGACCCCGCTGCGCGCCGCTGACCTGTCAGCCTCGTCGAACACCACGTACTCCACGGTGTGCAGCTTCAGTTTCATCTCCACCGCCACGTGCACCAGGCGCCCGGGGGTGGCGATGATTCTGTGGGGACAGAGGTGGTGACGGGAGCACGCCGGGGGGACAGCGTCCCCACACCACCTTGCACCTTTGGGTGCAGGTCCCAAATCCAACCCAAAGAAGACCCGATAGAGATCCCTGTGTCCCTCATGGGGAGCACAGGAAGATGGTCCAAGGGAACACCAGGACACGTCCATCAGTGTGCTGGCTGTAAACAC